CATTAATTTTTTTTCTTCGTCTTTAAAAAAAAAAAAAAAAAAAACGGTCTATCATAAATCCTTTGTCACACTCGTAAAATTAATATTCTTCGCACACATTTCATAAAATCAATGTGGAAATGGTATGTACATTACGTGACTAGAACACAAAGTACAAACATGAGCGCCCAACGATGCCCGAATCACGTACAATGTTTTTCTTATCCGAGGGCGCAAAGTGCAATTTTGCGCCCGTGGGCACACTTTGCGACCAGTGAATCACTTTGAGCCCTAGAAAAGCATTATAAAAAAATTCGATTTTCCTTACAAAAATATGGAAAACACCTGTTAGCTACACAGTGCTAGGAAAAAAGCTATTGACACTCATTTTATTTATTTTACTTTTTCTTCATCACAAAAAAGTAATTTAAAAATAAAAATAATGTCTGTGCTTACAAAATTGTGATCACTTTGCGTTCGGAGGCCAGAAAAGTACTTTGCGCCTTTCGGCCCCAAAATGATTCCTAGGGCGCAAAGCGGCAGTTGCACTTTAGGCCCATGGTAAGAAAAAGTACTTTGGGCCCTCACATTGCACTCGATAGAGAGAAAAGAGATTGAGATTTTTTACAGCATTGACTTGTGCGTTTGTCTTGTTATGATGTGGGACTAGAAAAGTGACCACTAAAAGGTGTTACGAAATGCAACAGTGTGATTTTCAAAGCGATTTTGGCTACAACCGACATTTCAGTTTAAATGATGGGTCATTTGGTATTTGATGAAAACTATTGCTTGTAAATTAAAAATTATTAATATAAATCATGGCATAAATGTAACGTACGACTTCCATCAATTGACAATGTAGTTTAGCATTTTCAACATAACTTCATGTGATTAGAATATTCAGTTTGAATTTCATGTAGTGACATACATGTAGCCCTGGACACGAAGTGAGCCACTTACGGCAGAATCACCCACATCTATATTATTTTTCAATAAAATTTTCCATTTGAAACCTGCAATTATGTATCCAACATATTCCTTTTTTTGTACACGTAATGAAAAACGGCAGTTGAATATACAATGGCAATTTTATAATATGTCTACAATTTTTATCAGATAAGTTTTTTAATAAAAAGTTTTTAAATATATTTTTGAATCATTGTTTTTTAAAACGTACACAAAGAAATAACGTAATTAATCCAACTTTGCTAAAAATAAAGCTGAAAGAATAACTTTATTAGAAAAAAAACGTTGAAATCATTATGCAGCATCAAACTGTTATCTTAAATTATTTTTAATGAAACCGTAATATCCTAAAATATTAACACATCATGGCATATACGAATATTAAATAATGTTGTTATAATTAATATGGTTACTGTCACTTTTTTTTTCTTTTCAGAGCGTGTAACTTACTCTACAATGCGTAATTTTAACATTAATTTGAATAAATATTTTAGTTTTGTATCTTGATAAACCAATTCTTTAGTTTTGCATTTTGATAAACCAATTTGTATAATCGTATAATAGTTTTATATTGATAAACAAAGAGATATATTACGCATTTACGGATCACATATTGTGTTCACTATTCGATATTTTATCAATCTTACTAGTGCGTTTTTATGCGAAAACAACAATAAAAATAACCAAATAAAACTTGGAAATAACAATATTAGATTTTTTTTAGATGATCTACAAAAAAAATTTTTTTTAAATAAAGCCTTCGATTTTTTTAACCATATTACAGTATATTGTATTAGAATATTTATAAAAATAATAATAAAATAACGTATTTAAGGTAAAATTTACATCGATGGGAAAAAACTTTTTGAATTTCGCGGCTTTAATTCCGCGTTTCTTTCTCCCCCACTTGGTCCGGTCCGTATTCCGATTCCAGTCTATCAAAGTCAGCTGATCAATTTCTTTACAGTCTGCTCTGCTGCTGGTGGTCGTCGTGCTACTGGTCGTGCCCCCGAAAATGTCGGGAAAGGATAAACTTCCGATTTTCCCCTCTCGGGGGTGAGTATCAACAAATTTTACTTCCCCAAATTTACGTAATTTTCTTCTAAATATTGCGACACCATAGTAGAATATTAATTTTCCATCCTGCGTGTTAACACTGGTTTGCTTTGTAAATATGGGTGTAACCCCTACTATCTAAAAAATAGCGTATAATTCAACTTCGTCTCGTGACTTTGATTTTTCAAGCTCGTACACTGTGTACAAGACTGTTTTTATTTCACTTGGTTACTTAAGATGACAGAATTATGCTTTGTACAACATATTTCTGTCCTATTTTGGTGATTGTTTGTATCCTTGAAGCTTGAAGCTTAATTCCCAACGTAGTAAATATTTATTAGACGCATCACGTCAAATTACAATTTTTGTGTGCAGAGCTCAAATGTTGATGAAGTCTCGGTTAGCTGGAGCACAAAAGGGACATGGCCTTCTCAAGAAGAAAGCTGATGCTCTGCAAATGCGTTTCAGAATGATCTTGGGAAAGATTATTGAGGTATATCGATATGTTTACTTACTTAGTACATAATTTTTGCGTTAATATAGGATATGGTGATTATATAGTTAGTTATTAAAATGAAGGGTATGTTATTTCATATGTAATTTTTTTCAGACAAAAACTCTTATGGGAGAAGTAATGAAAGAAGCAGCTTTTTCCTTGGCAGAAGCTAAATTTACTACTGGCGACTTTAACCAAGTGGTACTCCAAAATGTAACCAAGGCACAAATCAAGATTCGTTCAAAGAAAGACAATGTAGCTGGTGTCAACCTGCCTGTGTTTGAATCATATCAGGATGGTACGGATACATATGAGCTGGCTGGTTTGGCTAGAGGTGGACAGCAGCTAACTAAACTGAAAAAGAATTATCAGAAAGCTGTGACACTTTTGGTCGAATTGGCCTCACTGCAAACTAGTTTTGTCACTTTGGATGAAGTTATTAAAATCACAAATCGTCGTGTTAATGCTATTGAGCACGTTATCATTCCGAGAATCGAAAGAACCCTGGCTTATATTATTTCTGAGCTTGACGAGCTTGAGCGAGAAGAGTTTTACCGTTTGAAGAAGATTCAGGATAAGAAAAAATTGACCAAAGCCAAGGTATGTTGATTTAAGTTGAAATTTAATTGTTTCCTGTAAAAAAGGGCTGTTTTTCTAAAAATCAACTATTATTTGCAGAAAGAAGCTCAAAAAGCAGCAATGATAGCAGCAGGAAATGATGAGATCAGAGAAGTAGCTAATATGCTTGATGAAGGTGATGATGATATACTATTTTAAACGTTAAATAAAATAATATAGATTGTTCGAAATGCAAAAAAACATTTCCATATAAAATAAATCAAGTTTAAATTTATGTACAATATTTGGCACAATGAGTCTCTGATGCAGGTTATGCAAGGCTCCCAGCTAATCTCAATCACAGACTCATTGTTTATTTCAATTTCTAACAATCAGTATATTTAATAATTTTTTCTTGATAAATATTGTACACATATTATTGTTATTATTTTACTTTATGTGTGCAGTATATAATTTTTAATGAATGTCACGAGAACGAATTGTAACGTAAATAATCATGAATTTTATATTTATTATTGTTATCATTATTATTAAACGAAAAGCAAAAAAATAAGATACGTTGAGATAATACCTATTTTTCTCTTTCACAAACTCTATTAATGTAATGATATGTATGTCTAAGTATTATAAGATTGGCGCAAAAAGTTATTAGATAATATTTTAAGATTTGATTGCTAAATGTATTAAAATTATCTGTAAAGTAAACAAAATTACATTTGGTATCGTTCGTTTTATTTCCACATCAATATAGCAAATAATTGCCGTTACCTTAATACTTGAAAACCAGCTCTTAGTAAAAGCTTTGAAAAAAATTCACAGTATCCTAGCTGATTGATAGTGTCCAATAGCAGCTGCTACCAAATAACAGAGGCTGCCATATAAATGTATATTTTTACCTGCTGGATGTAATTTGTCTCAGCAGATTGTTATGAATGTCACACTTTGTGTTACTAACAATGTAAAAAATTTAAATACTTTTAGTAATAAATTTTTTCCTTACTTTTGGCTTAATACTATTGGCAAATTAAAAAATTACATTTCTGCAACAAAACAGCGTGCTATGAATACAATAGATGTGGGTAATTCTGCCGTAAGTGATTCGCTTCGTGTCCAGGGTTCATGGTATTACATGAAACTTAAACTGGATATTCTAATCATATGACGTTATATTAAAAGTGTTGAAAGAAAATATAGTCAAAATGTCACTTCCGTAGTTCTATTGGCATTATGCCTCTACCACGTGACCTCAGTATATATATATATATATATATATATGACTAATGTAGAGGGAAAATAACACAGGTCTTATGGGAGGAATCTTGTTTTTATTTTTTTTCGCACCTAAAAAGATATTGAGCTTAAAAAGGTTATTAATTCCATGTTACTGACATAATGAGAGTTACGTAGTTATTTTTTTCCTTTGATGAATTCGTTCATGAAGGTTGAAACAGCGTTTTGAACGTATACGGAGTGCCGTTTAATCCCCGTTTAACCCTACTGCTGCTGATGCTCAGAGATAAACAAACAGCTCAAAGTAGGGTTAACGGCAATACCAATACCCTATCCTCATCTCAATATCGCGCCTTAAAGCTCCTAAGTACGTGGAAAAAATATGCTAAGCTTTACTGCCATGTCCTCGCACACTTATATTGTCAATGTATAGACGTCGTATGTTATATTTATGCTATGATAATATTAATTTTTTAATCCACAAGCAATAATTTTTATCAACTCAATAAGTACCAAATGACCCATCATTTAAACTGAAATGTCGGTTGTAGCCAAAATCGCTTTGAAAACCACACTGTTGCATTTCGTAACACCTTTTAGTGGTCACTTTTCTAGTCCCACATCATAACAAGACAAGCGCATAAGTCAATGCTATAAAAAATCTCAATCTCTTTAAATGATAAGTACGTTAATTTAATTTTTAATTTTCGAGGGTACAAAAATTTTGGTCACTTCACTTTCATAAGGATTTGTCAAGGCATTTTGAGCCACTTAAGACAGAATATCCTATATATACATATACATGAGATATTTCACGAAAAAAATATTATTTTTAAAGAATGAATTTGGAATATTTCGTTATTGTTTTTTCAGGTGCATATTCTATGGTGATGAATCTGTTTTATAAAAAAAACACATGGGAATGCAGGGGCAGCGAAGCGGCTGCACGGTGTTGGGGATAAGGGGTTGTCACCACCTAAGCGCAAGTCGGGTGATAAATTCCCCACTCATAATTTCTTAATTATAACTTAATTCAGTTACTTAAAATTAAAGTATTACAAAAAAGTGAAAACATTTTAAGTCAAATTAATGAACTGATAGAAATTTTCAAAACTGTAACGGCCGCTCGGCTATTGCATGATCGTTTTTGCAGCCAGTTTGAGCTTTTATTTTAAGGTGATCTTGAAAATAAAAGGTGCCAGCTATAATTTTTCTACGGCACGTTCTTATTTGTTCAATGAAAAAATTTTATAATTGTTTATGTTTTCTGCCTTAAATACAAATAAAAATACTTACAGCTTACTAAGTATATTTTTAGCCCTGTAATTTAGATCAAGAGGATGAATCACAACAACAACATTATGTCAACCGCCAGAGGGCACCAGGACAAGTTGCTACTCTAGTAGGAATCTCTAGTAGAGATTTTGAATTCGGTTTGTTTACATCGTTACATAACATAACCTTTTGTGACTTGTAAACAGCTCATTAATAATGCCAAAAAAGTGCAGCGTCCCACAATGTAAAAATATCGTGAAATTTAAATTTCCAAAAAATGTTTGTACCCGTTTGAAGTGGTTAACGGCAATAGGAAGAGAAGCTTTTGTTCCTAAAGCAAATGACGGCATTTGTATAAATCATTTTTCCCCCGAAAGTATCATTACAGAAAGTTACAGAGGTTTGTCACATTCATGAAAAAAAAGTCACTTATTTTTACTAGTTTTTGTGTTATGATTCTTAATGATTTTGACAGTATAACATTCCTTCATCCGTCAACGAATGATTAAGATTTTTTTTATTTACAGGAGGATACAAGTTGACAAACATTCAGTTGAAACGGGGTACTGTTCCTACAATAATTGATCTGAAATCATCAACAAAAGACAGTGGTGGATGTGATATATCTGACAAGAGCGTTATTTATAATGATACACATTTACAAGACAAAAGTTGTACCAAAGATGTTGTTTTTCCAGCGTTACTTGATGATCGTGAATGTAGAGATAATACTAACGCTACTACAACAGATGTAAAAGTGTATAAAAAAGAAATTGATGAAAACAGTACTTATGAAATTTTTGAAGAAAATGACTACAAAATCAGTAATGATCAGATTCATGACGAAGAAAACTTTATTGTGAAAGTGAATAAGCCCAGGTACAACATAGATGACTTCAGAGACCCTAGTACTTCCAAATCATTTTTGCATTTTTGTGGTCTGGAAAATCATGAAAAATTTATGAACGTGTTTTACTCTCTGCAACCAGCTTTGTTTAATCTGAAGCTTGAACCGCATTCAGTACATGGACTAAGTGAACGTAACCAGCTGTTTTTAGTGCTTTGGAAGTTGAGACTGTACGCAGCTGACATTGAATTGGCAAATCACTTTAATATAAGTGAACAATCTGTACAAAAAATATTTATATCATGGATTTTATTCATGTCAAAAACATGGAGAATGATTGGTACCTGGCCTAGCCAACAGATGATTGATTTTTACATGCCAGAAACTTTCAAAAAAAATGTTCCTAAAGTGAGAGTAACCTTAGATGCAACAGAAATTAAAACTGAGGCACCTAGTCAGCCAATTCATAAACAGTCATCGTTGATTACCTATAAAAATGCAAATACCTTTAAGATAATAGGAGGTACGACTCCGGGGGGAATGATTTCTCATTCTTCTTCAGCCTGCAGTGGATCAACTGATGACCAACAAACTGTAGACAGAATGAGAATTATTGATAAATTTAAAAAAAAAGATGAAATTTTACCTAATAAGAGGATAGTGGTACGGGACATTTTCGCTCCTTATGGTGTCAAAATTTTGACTCCTATACCTTTGGTCTCAGTACCACATGAAAAAGTGGTAAGGGACTGTGAACTCTCAAGACCTAGAGTGTATGTTGAACGAGTTATTGGATTGTTAAAGACTTTTACGATTCTTTCGAAAAAACTGAATATACATCATCAACAAATTTCATCTGAAATAGTTGGAGTGTGTGTAGTGTTGACTAATTTTAAAGAAAATATTATGTAAATTGATCTATTTTTAGCATGTAAAGTATATGTGGTTTTTTATATGTTCATTAACAAATTTTTACAATTTATTAGTAAATGTAATTATTCAAACGAATTTCATACCTAATTAATTTCCACTACGCAAATTTAATGTCCTTACTTATTGATAATAATCATGCATTATCATTTGAATTGTTTAAAGTACTAAGATACATTAAAAACTTTTTATCTGGTCAACATAGCAAAATACTCTGCTCTTCTTAAGTACAACTCTTAAACAAAAATAGGTTTTTAAGATTCATTCTTAAAGGATTAATATCAAATCAACGTTTAAAATATAAACCTTATTCTCTTAGGTACCAAGCACAGTACTCTTTTACACACAAAATACTCGTCTATAATTTTTGATAAAGACATTTTTCTGAAATTGCTTTCTTCATGTAATTTTCTTTTAAAAAATCCAATTTTTCAAGCATTTTTGAAATAAATAATTTATCTCTATATCAATAGGAATTCTGTGCAGTGCCTTAAAAAGTAAAAACAATGAAGTCACAGTATTTTTTTGCCCCTGTACTTGATAGTAGCGCTTCACAATAGCAAAACAAACCAATATTAAAGAAAATATCGTATTGTTCTTGAAAAAACAAATCTTGTTTTGTTATTAAGTCAGAGATCTTGTATTGGTTTGTATTATCTTAAAATATTAATCTCACAATACGCAGTTCATTTATTTACTAAGAACACTTTTGTTAATACAACTGCTGTATTTAATTTCGCTTATATTTTTAATGAAACGCTTGCTTTGTTTACGTTCTATAATATCTGTGGACTTGCACGAAATAAGAAAAAGACTCTGGCATATGGGTCGTTTCCCAAAAACTGCGATATTCCATGAAGCCTACGTTTAAAACGACGGATTAAATTATTTTGAGTCGGAACTATTTGTAAACGGTGCAAACCAATTTCCCTTAATTACGTTTTCAACATAAAGTCAAAAAAAATTTTTTTTGCGTGGTCGTAATATTGAATAAACAGGCAAAAAAGTCATTACCGTAATACTAAGAATTAAAAAATATCATTTTTAGCAGCTTCTGGTGCCTAGGTGTTGATTTTTCAATTTTTTTACTCTACTATCTGAGCATGATCTATGCAAGTGGGCTATTATCAGTAATTTAAACAACTTTTTTAAAATTTTTCATGATCACAGAATACTGCCCTTTCCGTGATATCTGCATTATTTACGGAGATGTAGCGATTTAAAGTTTTGATAATATTTACCTCTAATATTTCAATTTCAGGGAATATCCATTGGTTATTTTAGGCTCTGGATGATATAACAGAGCTAGTCTTGAGGATTTTGAACTCTTATAAAGGGATAAAGTCAAAACGCCAACCGGAGGGCATCAGAGAAGGTACAGTCGGATCGTAGGTATTTCCAATTAATAAAAAGGGAAGAACACCTAAATCATGAATGATTTGAATCTGTATCTGTCCTGAGAATAAAGAAAACTTGCTCCGTTAATGTTCAATCTCAAGCTATACTTATATAAATATTCTGTGATCATGAAAATTTATGAATAATTTTGCCGTAATTACTGATTAACGCCCACTCAAATCAATAAAATATCACTCAGAGTCTAGTATCCTGAAAACTAGCTTATTATACTCATGTCTGAAAGTTTTTCATTGTTTTAATTCGTGTATATTTATACACATATACAAATAATCTTTTCCAAATAAAAAAATCTTTTATTTTTCATTTGTTATACACAATCATTTAAAAGTTCAAATGAAGACATTAGTAGTTCAATAATTTTTACATGAATAAGTAAAAAAGGTTCCACTGAAATATTTATCACTAGAGCACAGTTTAACTACCCCATACATGATGGTCTGTATATCAAACATTTGAATTTTTTTAAATCAACGTTTTTTGTCTTTGATACATTTGTTCTAAAATTGGAACTTAAAATTGTGCTGTGGTAAAATAATTTTCTGGTCAATTTAAAACAATTGCCATCATTTAAGCTCTGTAATGACGTCTTAGAGATAAACGCACAGTGCAAAAATTGCATCTTTTTTTTTTAATTTATAGCTTTAGAATTAAAGTTTTTGCTTTCAAATATCATTTTAAAAAGCTGTATGCTATTAAATGATTTTTTAGCATCTTGAAAACAAATTTTTATATTTTAAAGGTCCGCAAAACATTTTTTAGTCATGTCTATGAAGCTGTTCTACAAATACTGATTTTTTTTGCACACAAACACATAAGATACAACTAAGATAAAAATGAACAAATCGATTAGTTGGATTTCCATTGACAAACAAAATTTACAATTCTTTATTGAATATGGAAACTTGATTGCACGTAATGCGTAATTCTCGGACGTAACTCATTTTGAAATGACAATTTGTTGCAATCTTCACACATCCATTTAGCCATGGTTACATTTTTTGCTTTGATGAAAATAAAAGTTACTTTCATCTAGTAGTCTAGCTTAAAAAATTAAACAATAAAATCATAATTATTTAAAAAATCGTACATTAAATGACAATGTGTAACTAAAAGATCTTTTCAACTTAATTTGACGAATCTTTTTCAAAAATTTCATAGCACTGATCAATGATTATGTTAGATAACTACATTATAATATAAAACCAGTTATTTAAAAGCGTATTTTGAGGAATCTATAAAAATTTCATTTTAGAAAAGTATTTCCAGTATAATAAAAATCGTGTATGGAATTTTGTTTCGCGAGTAAAATTAAAAAATCGGTCGCTTTAACAAGTAAAAATTAGCACTAAAAAGAAGGTATTGACCTTAATGAATCCAATAAAATAAAATTAAAAGTAGAAATATAACTTTAATTTATCTAAAACTTGATGCTGCTTTTGTAGTGCTTGATCTTAAAATTCAATATATTGGGTCTAAAAATAAGGACTGTTTGTAATACTTTGTTGCACTAAGCAGTGTGTAATGCATACACATAAACTATAACTACGCTGACATTTTAAAAATCAAAATGATGAACTAAGTGCATTGGTTGAGCTTGTCTTTGCGTCTTATTTTTCAAGTAGCATTGATCTTATAAACTATAGATTTTTGAAGAAACTATAATCGACTGTAATTTTAATAAATTAGAATGTACATAAACATTAAAAATGATTTGTCGATTCTAGGAACTTTTCTGAAGGTTTTTTTTTTTGAATGTTGTGAATTTACAACACTAAAACTTGTTTACATGTTCTCCAAATTTTAAGAGGTAGTAATAGATCCGTCATATTGTCAAGCTCTTGAATGGATCCTTTTACTTATTCAGTAAGATTCAAACCTTATTATTTACTTATCTTACTGTCTAATTGTTTAATTTTGCATCAAATCATTGATTTCAATGTCTATATTTTCAAACGTAGGCTTGAAAAGTTTATACTAATTTCCAGGAAAACGTAAGCGAGCTAAGCAAGCTCAGTAAGGCAAGGATCTGCTCCAAAAGTTGTATCGTTTGTTTGTTGAGATTGGGTTATTGGTAATTCATATTTTCGTTCAGCTATCTTATGTTAGTGACACCATCATGAATTTTTCTGCATTAGAGTGAACATCATTTTTTGTACTTTTTGTTTATTTATTGAATGTATGAGGAACAAAACCATAAATTGAATAAAATTGTTTATCTAATGATAACTTTCTCGTACATATCTTTAAAATTATTCGTACAAAAACGCAATTTGAAGCAAGCCGGGCCACCTAAGGTGAGTCACTGGATTGGATTAAATGTGCAGAAACATATAGTAATTATTATTATTTTTTTTTATTATTATTTAGGCGTTCATGTCAAGAGAAATGCTAGTTTCAACACCCATAATCATTTCTTTAAAAAAAATTTGTACAATATTTCTTTTCTAACTGAGCGAATGAAAAATTTTTTTATTAAACGCTGAAAACTTTATCTTTTTTTAATAAGTTTTAACTTGCTCGTATAGTCCGGAAAATTTACTATTAGTTTATTTATTTACCGACCCCATAAGTTATTGTGCATTTCGGTTGGTCCATAGTAACTCTACCTATCTGGAGGCGATATAAAAGAGAAAAAAAGTCGAAGAAGCAACAAATATGAGAAAAATAAAAAAAATTACAATAACTGACTTAATCTCACATAGTAATATGCGTCAACTTGATAAAGAGACAGAGGTGTAAGACATCGTAAAAATATGCATATACTGCAAGATTAAGTATCTTTTTATCATTAGAAAGCTTCTAAATATATACAAAATGTAATAAATCTCTTATTAGGATATGTAAAAACTGTTATAACTATTTTTATGGTTCTTGTTAAAGGGCATTAAAAATTGTATTGATTATCTTAATAAATTTTTGCGCTCGTTTCAGGTATTTAAGTTAGGTTTGAGGTATGTTGTTGAATACGCAAAACTCCTTAACGTACTTTAAAACAAATAGAATCAAACGTCGGCTTGATTTAATTGTACTCTTCTGAGGTTGGCTTATCAATGTTGTTCATGAATCTACATACTTCTACATGGGGATGATCCGTCAAGGAGTGGCTAAAGAAATCTGGGGCTTTTCTTAACCTCCAAAAGTCGTGCGTAATACTATTTGTCGGCATACCCTCGTCGAATATTTGTTTTGAAGTAGGAAGTAGGGCAGACATGAAGCACTTTCAGCGGGGGTATACAGAAAAATGTTCAACCGTATTTATATGAGTCTGTAAGGGTCAGTTACGAGAGAAAGTTGGCCAAATCCTTTATCAGAAAAGGAGTTACCCCCAATTAATATAACTCCATAGTCAATTACCTACTATGAACCTAAATCAACGGAAGATACAGCTTTCGAAGCATACCCCTGACTTTTACAAAGTTGTAAAATGAGGAAAAGTCATAGTAATAATAATAGTAAAGTATTAAAAAAAAAAAAAAAAAAAAAAAGATTATAATAATAAGGATTACTGTCGTAAAATGATGAAAACGGAACCGATTTTTATTTTACATAGATGTCGGTGACCAGAAATTCATTTCTCTTAGTTCGGAAGGTTGTGCCTGCAGTATTTGACTGGTAGTACTGTCGATGCTGCCCGATTTATCATCTTTGCTAATGTAAGTGAGATTCTGAGAGGATATTGATTTCTTGCGGCTGAGAGCACGTGGCGGGATCTGTTCAGGTGTTGTCAATTCGTCCTCCTCTTCGATCTTTGTAACAACGAGCTCGCGTGATTGTCCAAGTATGCTGCCCAGCAACCAGCCGTTCTTTTGACGTTCGCCATCCGGCACAAATGCGCCCGTGAAAAATCGGTTGCCGTAGCCTCGACGCCGTGCTTTTGGTGAGCTGTCGGGTGTTATGTTTGGCGAGGTCAGCGGAGTCGCGGGCAGCGATTTGCTTACCTTCCTGGTTTGTTCCTTTTCCTAAAAATACAAAACAAATTTTTTTGTTTTTCAGGACAATGTAAGTGAAATAAATTTAAGTATATTTTGTGTAGGAGGAGGTGAGCGCATGGGTGTCTACAGCACAACCTAAACTTTAACTTTTATTAATTGCATGGACATGATCAACAGTTAATATGACAGAAAAAGGGAGATTTAGTTAGTGGAAGACTTAATTTTAAAAAAAAGTAAAATGGGAAAAGAATTTTATAAGCAGAATTAACTTTTCCTTCCATTAGCAATTTTAATTGTAAAATCGTAAGCAAGCAAAAACAGAGGTTAATCTCATGATGTTGCCAACTCTTTTATACACAACAAATACGAACTGCTTAATCAAAATAGTAACTTCCATGAAACTAACTGCTTTACATGTCCCGCTATTTTGAGAGCGAAGAAGAAGCTTAATCAGCGTACGTTAAAAACAGTATCGCTTAAATGAAATTTTATCTCCACCCCCTAAGCACTTCGTGGGCTAACCCCCAGAGTTATATTAAACGTTTATTTTTCTAAATTTCTCAAGTATCGAGGCTAATTAATGTAAATTTTAACTTTTTTTTAAACAAAATTTTTTAATTTTTACTTTAATTTACAATACAAACCATTTTTTTTACAGCTCAAATTTACATACTTTTAAGTTTTCCCACTACAAACAAACACGTCGTTAGCCTAGACCTATATAATCACGTGATCACTCATCATTAGAGCGGGTAAGACAACGATATCATATTTATGTTGTCTCCCTTGAACTCGTCATAAATTATTACGTGGCTAACCAGAAAATGATAAATCAAAGAGTTAGTATGCCTTTAAACCTACATCATCAATATATTTTACAATAATATCTATCAAAAAGAATTTTTGTTTACTAATAACCATTTTACTGAACTAATGAATTATTCAGTTGATTTAATTTGACTCACAGGGCTCATTTATTATTGATGTATTGCAAGAACAAAATTACAAACTTTTTTAATTCTCCAGATATGTTTATTTATGATGCATATCACCTTATCTCAGGTTTTAGTAGAATCGGAAAAGGAACATTAAATATTTTTAAAAAAGCCAGCTCCTTAACTAACGTTGCACCATTTATTATTTAATATTTCAACATTTCAACTTGGCCTCAATATTATATACTATTCTTAGTTACTAATTATGTTTACACATTGTACATTTTTTTAAGTTGCTCGTTGTTTACTATCTTTTATAATTTCAATTTAGTTTTCTATTCTATAATTATGTTACTACACTATTTAATTTGTTATGTGCTGCGCTCGGCAACACACTTTGTTAATTCATTTTAATTGGGCCCTAGGCACGTTAATTCTATAAATAAATAAATAAATAAAAGATGCCTCAATATAGGGGTATGACTATATTCTTCATGTTAAAAAATCTAGATACAAATGCAAAATATTCCAAAAACTGTATGGCTGAGCTTTTTGGAATTAGGTAAATAGTTTTACAATGTGTTATGCTCAAATGTAATGGAACATCTTCACTTTTGGGAGCTAAGGTGGCTTGGGTGTTTGGTGCCGTACCAAGCGAAGGGCCCTTCAAGGTTCTATGGATTATGAAAAATATTCTTTGTTCATCGTCATGATAATTGAATATCTAAATTACATATTCAAATTCCAGAGTTTTATTGGCCTTAAAAGTTATAAAATATCGATAAAAAAAATAAAAACTCATCATTTTCATTCGTGCATGCGCAGAAGATGATACATCACTTTTCTCTTAATTTTAAAAGTGGTTTACATATAATTTCCACAATTTTAAAAGCTATCTTATAAAAAAAAGGTACAAATACTATTTTTATTTGTAAAGGTTTGTCATTTACTTTTAGAGTAATAGTTGTTTTAGTAATTAATCGCATAATACTGCGTGTTAAATTGGTGGAATTTCAGTAGTGATTTTCTGAAAAATGAAATGATCAACTCTAGTATTTTTTTATCGCAAATTAATTAGGCACACTTTATTTACATAAGTTCATAATTTTAGAAATTATTATCATTCCAGTAAAAACCCCCAAGCCACCATAACTATGAATTTTTATGTATTTCCCAATCACACCTTTTTATAAAAATTTTCACGTAATTTATATCAATTTATGGAAGGAAATGTGCTATCTTAAGATAAATTCGAACATACCAACAAGAATGCATGAATCAAATTTAAAAGAACTCTAAGAGGATGGGGCGTAAATAGTGTGATCGAACTAGCTGAAATTTCGGTAATTTTTCATGAAATTTAGACTAGCGCGAAAAAAATATGCTGCAAAGAATTCAATAATGCCAATCGGTTGTAATAAAATCGAACAAAAAATATTTTCCGCTAAGGCTTAAAAAAAAAAAAAAAATGGCAAAAATGGCTTACTTTCTACTAGTTACAGATGGCGGTGGGTATCCACAGGGCTTACAAAGGGTCAATGGCGATATGTATATATTACGAAAGCCAATAAACATATTTAAATACCTAGAGACAAAGGGTTAGGAATAGTGTGGTAGATGCGGGAGCTTCTTCTGATTGACTCTGCCATATTTAGGACAAGCAAGCACACAATCTTAATCAACCAATCACTGACTCGTAATCTCACGTCTGTGAGCTTCATAAGTTTGAATGATATACATCGACATGAGTAGTGTAAGTAATATGCATAGATATATAGTTTCTAAAGAAAGTCCTGAACAAGGGGGCCCATCTGCCACACTATCCCTTGACCCTTTGTAACAGGGCTCTAATAGCCACATTTCAAATGTAACAATTTGTATAGGGATAAGACAATCATTGCCATAAATAGATGGCTATAGTATGAGAACCACATGATGGCTCTGTGGGTTAGCACGTCTGCTTCAGATTTTTATAAAATAATAATAACCCAATAACTCAACGTTTCTCCTACTGTTCAACCTCACCGATATAGTTTCTCGCGAGTTACTGTACTGCGTGGCTAAATACACTATGGGTGTCAAAATAGCCATTTCTAAGCCAATGTGATCATGAACATAAAAAAAGTTTCCTCTACTATAGAATGGAGATTCCCCATTACACCTCCCCCCTGCATATACGACGACAGAAAAACCTCGAACGTATAAAATATAACCAGAATATCAAAAATTATTTTTAAAACTTTGAACAGAAATATTATTAGAACAGTATTTTTGTTTATAAAAATGGAAGCGTAATCGCTTTCAACGATAACAATGTGTATTTTATCATGTGATTTTTACCTGAACAGATGATTCGATGGAACTCTGCTGTTGCTGCTGTGCGATGTCAGATGAAAAGGATGAGTTGTTGGCAATATTAGACTTGCCAAACATTATCTGACTAGCTACAGTAACGATGGAACGGCCGGTAGCTTCTGATGTTTTGTCATTATTGAACTCATTAATCGGCTTATTGATTTTTGTATTATTCGCAATTACAAACTTTGGTTCGTTAACTGAAAATAAATCAATAAAAATTTATTTATAAAATATACTACTTTTAACAAAATGAAAATGACTATCACATAAAAAAATCATAATTTTGATAGTTGATTATTTACTTTTGGTAGCTGTTCCATAAGATGACAAAGATTGCTGGAAAGAGGGCTGCTTGTTAAGCAGGTCGTTTGAGTTGCTGTTGCTGCTGGTATCAGTAATAACAGAGGAAGCAGTGTCACGCTTGCCCGCTAAAAATTCGCTAATAGACCGGAAACCCTCTTTGTTGATGTCTGCTGAGGAGCTTGAGGCCGGTTTTGGGTAGCGTATCAGAAAGAAGGTATCATCCGCTGGTGGACTGAACGCACTGTCAGAGTAATCAAACCTAAAACATAAAACAAGTATTATAATTAGTTTTATTTCATCACGTAAGATACATGGGTCATGAACTTTTTTTTAAATAGATTTTGATGAAAATGAAGTATGGTGCAATTTATGAAGTGATACCCGTTCCGCATAATTCTAGACCATTCTTAAGTCTCGTATACGACTTTGAACTGAAAAAAAATCGAATTTGAACTTAATACAAAATATAATTATTTAATTTTAAAGTCGGTTTTTTTTAAAAGGTTATGCATGGGCTCTCAGATTTTGTTGGAAAAAATTAAGTTTTTTTATAAAAAACTAATACGATATAGCTAAATGTTTCTAAAATATTTTATCAAAATTTTAAAAAGATCTCGTGTTTAGTTGTCAAGATATTTGTAATTAAAAAGAAAATAAAAGCATAAAATGCACCTGTAATTTTTCTTGTACCCAGAGACCTGATAGTTTGCAGTGAAAAGTGCCAATTTAATTAAAGCCAAGTAGATATGCAGTAAATAGAAAAATAGTATTACATTTCAAATGAGAAAATTATTTTTATTTATTTAGTTTTTTTAATTCAGAGAAGTAGAAGGTTACAACATGAATTAATTATTAGCATGGATATATATATATATATATGTGCATGTTCGTGAACGTGCCCGTGTGTGTAAAGCAGTGTAGTCAACTCTTTCTAGTCAAAATCAGGCAAGAATTCTCGCATGTAAACAAACGGCTTACATGCGCATAGCTGCTTGTGATTGGCTGAACGAAACAGCAGGAGGGGATCGTCGTTCTTTTTCTAGCCTGCCAATGTGCCAAGTATGCCAATCACAAGCAGCTATATGCATGTATATAATATTTATGCTCTAAGTCTTTTGTTTAGATGTAAGAATTTTGACTCGCTAGGAGCGAGTATACATTACTTGCTCACGGAGGAGAAACCATGTTGAATCTTTTAGAAATGACTATGTTTGGAAAAAAAACTTAACTTGAAAAAAAAACAATAATAATAAATTTAATTTGTCAAGATCTATACTCTGAAAAAGATTTATATAATGCAAAAGGGGATTATTGTTTGCGTTAAAATTTTATTTTAATGAAGTCAAACTTCCGTAAGCACGCCTACCACTTTCTAATTTGATGTAGGAGTGGATGAAAAACGGCTGTTGCGGAGATATAAATGCGTCATGCTGAAATGGAAGATTTTTCTTAAACTCCTATCCTACAGTGTAGAGGAGCGGGTCACAGCACAGAAAGAAACATTGAAATAATCTCGACCAATGTGAGCCTGAATAAATAGTTGACACAGCATAGCCGCTCTATATAGTAGAAAGACACTAGCGCGATTAGCCAGGCAAGAGCTGTATAGGCAATATAACTCACATAAATCTATAGATTTTCCGCTGTTTACTTTACATCAAAACAACACAAGTGAAATGGCTTAATTTCCATACATCCATCATTTGCACACAGTACACTGCACTTGGTCTTCTTTTCATCTCGTCGACGTTCACTATTTTGTATAGGCAAGCTAACGTTATCAATTCTTTGCTGTATGTCGTACAACTCTCTTTTACAGATAAATTAGGTCTTTTTCGTAAGTTTTTTTTTTTTTTTTTTTTTCTTCTTTAGTTTGCACGCGTTATTTATCTCAACTAATGGGACAATAGGAGCTAGAGTATAATGTTACACGATACAGTAATGCTCTTAGAAGATCGTTCTTTTTATTCAGCTAATGGAATACTATCTACGGTTAGTACTACGAAATTGTGTAATTTGAATAAGCGGTGTTAAGTGACAAGTAGCGCCGCCCTGATGGTTGAAAACTGAACCAATTCTACTACGAAGTATATAGTTTTTTTATTTTTTTTTTATTATAGTGCCTTACGTCCGGCTCTTACAAAGGGCACTACTGAGGGCACTTAGCACTTGGGAGAAGGAAGGGACGAGGGATGGGAGGCCTCCCATTACTGGGAGGGGGGTAGGGGAAAATTAGAAAATTATGCTGCGAGGAGGTCGCCTAAACCCTCCTTAAGGAGCATTTCGTGGTGAAAAAGCACATGTGAAAATACACAGAGATACTTGCCCGAAAAAGTCGCACTGCCCGGGAATCGAAATACGGTCTCCCGCGTGCCAATCTACGACCTAGCCGACTGAGCCATCGCGCGCTCACTAAATGTATAGTTCAAACTGTAGACGCGCGAATTGAGTCAAAACATGAATTAAGTATTTCATAAGTTTATTCAATTTATTCAACTATGCAGGTGAAGGATCCCGTAAATACGTTGAAGGACAAAATGTAGCAAATGCAAAACATCTTTTATTGCGCCATAAAATTAAAAACGTCGTAAAAAAAGTGGTCTGTTTATGTTTGAAATCGAATAACTGGTTTGGAAAACCATATGAGCTGGAGATTAAAATAAGCTCTATAAGCTTTGAGAAAGAATTTAATAATTATATTATTGTAGCTGTTCTTGCCCAACTGGTTCTGGAGGAAGCTGTAAGCATATTGTAGGTGTTTTAGTACATTTTTAAGGTATATAGGTTATAAAATGTGAACAATATCTGACTCTGAAGGACCTTAATTTTTACATAAGAAATATCATACATTATAATCAAATTACTTCAAAAGTGGTTGTCTTTTCTGAAATGTTTCCTTTGCCAACCAATGTTGAAGTAGTGACTTTTTTGGTTATGTTATAAGCCTTGATCTAATTATCTTCGAATATACTATTATTATTCGGTATAGTATGAAAAAATTTCATTTACACTTAAACTATCATCACAGCTAGACACACTACAAGGAAAGCGCTGGGGCTTTTGCTTATTCATTTTAAGACGAAAAAAATTGGTGTTTTTGTTTACTACTGTTCGTCGCTAATACCATTTGAACTACATACTTATTAGTAGAATTGGTTCAACTTCCAACCAGCAGAGGACGGCACTACTTGTCGCTTAACACCGCGAATAGACTGGCATACTTAAAAAAATACAAAGCCAATAAATTAACTTAAACTTAAAACCGCGAATAGACTGGACGCGTCTGCAGTATTTATACCACCTTACAGATATACGCAGTAAAAGTTTTTTTTGTAAATTTACCAGCGATCTGTAAAAATTCACTATATGAAACCGTGTACAATTACCACTGATTAAGTAACATTACAAAAATTTAGTAAATTTTGCAAAATTTTAATAATTTTACTATATTTATTATTGGAAATAAATGTGACCCATAATAAATGTAGTTAATTTACATGTGACGTTGTAATACATTTTACAAGCGACGTAGTAATTTAAAATACCTTGCAATAGTAAGCTTACGTTTAGTGTTATAAAAGAACTAGCGTACTTAGTAGTCGTGACTCGTGAGTTCCATAATCGCGCATTCCACTATTCCACACGAGAATAAAGCAGGGAGTGAAAGACCTCGTCGAAGGCAAATACACCAGAGTTCATTTCTAATTTTCCAGTGTAAAACTTCTTTCAGTGGTTCACTAGTGAGTTCACTATAAGCCAAATCTATGTTTAAAGTCAATTATTAATTTTGTGGGGGCGCTAAGTAATTTTCTTTTTGTACTATCAGATATGGGTTTTAATGAACTGGTGTTTTTCAAAATGAGGTTATGGATGTTTCATAAAGCTAAATGAACTTTTGACAATGAATGAACATTGATAATAAATAAAACCGATATCTGATTATTGAATTGATTCAATACTATTAGATTTACGCTGTGTCTATTTGCACCAAATCCACGTAATTACGTGGATATGAGGTTAGGATTTTCGACTTTATCAAGCACTTTGAAAACTGAAGTTCAGGCACGTACATTGAAGTTGACACACGTATTTACGTGGATTTAAATAAAAAAAGAATTAATATACGTAAGACTGCGGATACGTTGTTACGTACGTCCTTTACAAAAACGCACACACCTACAACATACGCGTAAGCTTATAGTTACGTTGACGTATAATTGTACATATATATATACTAGTGGGGCTCACGCCCCCCTGCGCGCACTGCACGCCAACCCCCCAACTTCCGAATATTGTGCATCAATACAAAGTACAATTAGTAGTTACGTAGATGCTAGATATGTAAGTCCAATGGAAGCAGCTTGGAGACTTCAAGAATATCCAATTTGTGGTAGAAGTCATACAGTTGTAAATCTAGCTGTTCATCTTGAAAATAAACAAAAACTCATATTTGAAGAAAATAATATCAAAAATGTAATAAAAAATTATCAAACACCCCTTACAGCTTGGTTTGAATTAAATAAAGTAGATGATTTTGCAAAATCACTAAAATATGTTAACATTCCAGAACATTACATTTTTGACAATAAACTTAAAATTTGGAAAAAAAGGAAAGTTACACTGAAAAATATTGCTATAGGTAGATTAAACATAGTATCTCCAAAAGATCATGAACGCTTTTTTTTAAAACTTATTTTAAATAAATTACATGGGGCTACATCGTTTGAAGACGTTAAAAAACATAATGGAATAACATATAAAAATTTCAGGGATACTGCAATTGCAATGGGTTTAATAGAACATGATTCTGAAATCGACAATATTTTTAAAGAAGCCATAACAATTATGTTTCCATACCAGTTAAGACAATTTTTTGCTTGGTTTTTGATTTCAGAAAACATTCAAGGAGATAAAATATGGAATGAATATAAAAAATATTTTACGGAAGACTTCGATAATGATAATAATAATTGTGCTCTTCTACATATTAATCAAATTTTGGTATCGGAAGGTAAATCATGTGAGTCTTTTAGTTTACCGACACCAACCATTAGCAACTATATAAATAATTGCAATATTGAGGAAATATCTTTCAGTAAAAAAATGTTCGATATAATGTACACAAATTTAAATGAAGATCAAAGAAAAATTTTTAAAACTATTTGTGAACAAATGAAAAAGTATATTTCATAGATGGTCCTGGTGGATCCGGAAAAATCTACTTATATAAGACACTCATTTATTACTTTATTTCTAGAC